CAAATATTACAACGATGATAACTATGTTCAGAATAAAGTAATTTGACTGAATTTTCAATATATTCTTCTTTCATCATCTACATTTGAACTGTTATACCAAGAATGGCCAACTCTCTATAAAAATCTCCCATAATGTATCTTTAATGCTTCCAACTAATAGGGTGTCTAGATAAGCTATAACATTCAGAGCTTAATGCAAGACCCCAAACAAGAGAGTGTGTAATCCTCAAACATGACCGCAGGAATGGAATGGAAATCAACCATTCAGTATCCGGATCTGTTCTTAGTGTGTCCACCAAAAAAAATAGTTTACCCTTAACTAAAATCTTAAAGGCAGAGATCGAATAGTCCGAAACTTGCTTAATGGTGCCGTCAGAGGGCAACGATCTTTGGTTCCCCAACACTGGAGTAGACCGTTCGGGCGCATTCTTTTCCACCGGTCTACCCTGACCCACCTGTTGTAGAAGAAATGGTATCAGCAGGAGAAAAATGCCAGGTTCGTGACTAGAATGATCATTAACCTCGGACTGGCTATCGGAGTCATATGTTCATTCACCCTTCTCTGGAACATCGTTACGAAAACCTGTATATTGGCATTTGGTAAGTTCAACTTCAGGTTTGGTCAAAGGTCACGAGATGTAAACAGCGCTAGCCCTAATGCTTACCCTAACCTACAATCTCGCCAACAATTACGTGCCCAAACCTTATATTATTTACATCTCAGCAACCATGACGAAAATTGAGCTGACCTTAACAAATAGAGTTAGCCATGCACAGTAGGCCTATTTGAATCCCCGGCGTGTGCGTTCGTTGAAGGTAGTTAGGTCTCTCCCGCAACTTGAATGGTCACGAGGTGTAAACAGCGCTAGCCCTAATGCTTACCCTAACCTACAATCTCGCCAACAATTACGTGCCCAAACCTTATTTACATCTCAGCAACCTTGACGAAAATTGAGCTGACCTTAACAAATAGAGTTAGCCTTGCACAGTAGGCCTATTTGAATCCCCGGCGGGTGCGTTCGTTGACGGTAGTTAGGTCTCACCCGCAACTTGAATGGCACCCGCAACCTGAAAAATGTCTTAACGGAGTCTTAGTCCCAGCGATGTTACTCTTACAGGAATCAAAAACAAAAAGAGATGCAGTCTCTTAAAAATTGGAAGTACTTGGCCACGTCTTCGGACGACGCGACCATTGTACGTAAACCACCAGACAACGACGCGCCTCTGGAACAGTAACCAATAGGCGTGTTTTACGCTGTGTCGGGTGTAAGAAAATACTACCGTTTCACTATATAACGATTATGCTGCGTAAGGTCGCTGTCACCATATGACGATCATGCTGCGTAAGTCTATAACCTCTAAGTACGCCTTAGGATCCAGATCTTTACGAATCGAACATCGCCGTGAGCTTGAACTTGGAACTACTGTACAATCTTTACACGCCAACTGGGGGTCATTGGCTGATATAGGATGATTGCACCTCGGATAGAGTGGCCTCTTCTCAGAAACCAGTGTCTTATCCGCCACAATCGTCGCCAAGGTGATTAGGGGTGTGAGGGTAGTATGGAAACCTAGATATAACCCTTATATCTTGTATTGCTATACTTCAAGACACCATACAGCGCTACATTGAATGAGTGTAAAGGGTACTAATGAACGTCGTAGTCATTTTCTGGCCATTTTTGTGCTGGACAGTGTGCAAGTGCTATAGATTTTGCTATATCTACATTATTTTTAGAAAACCCGTAACAACTACTTTTGCACCATTCATGTACTTCCTTACTCTGATTTACCACATTTTGAAAATATTCGAGAGAAAGGTGATCTCTGTTAAAACTGAGCGTAAGAAAGGTTATTCGACAGTTTTTCCTTAATCATACGCCAATATGTGGATGTATTAGATGATATATACTATTAAAAAAAGTAGGGGATATTTGATTTTTAAGTGTTATTAAAGTCAACTAATGAAACTGACGAAGAAACAAATGACAAAATGAAATGAAGTTCACATTCATCGATTTATTCCAAATGATCGTTAGACTAAGTAAGGCACAGACTGACCATTATAAGGGTAAAATGATACCCGGGGTCAAACAGCAAAGTTACCACAGCATCACAACCAAGTCAGTAACGGGTAAATCCTCCTCTGTTTGCCAAACAAGCATTGATCCGACGTGGCACTCTCCTAATGAGACGTCTAAGGTCATTTTGGTCCAGATTGTCACATTCCTGTTGCAACGCAGCAGCAAGTTCTTGGACATTTGCAGGACGTTGTTGACGTTGACGTAACCTCTGTCCAAGCATGTCCCAGACATGCTCGATGGGGGAGAGGTAATGTGGTGATGTTCTGTTGTTTGAGGTAACCTGTAACGATCCTGGCCCTGTGACATCTTGCGTTGTCATCCTGGAAGATGAAACGGCGGCCATGACGTCGTGCGAACGGCACAACATGGACTGCCAACATGTTGTCCCGGTAGTACTGGCCTGTAACACGCCCTGCAACAACATGTAAAGCCGTTCTTCCAGCAACAGTGATGCCTCCCAAAACCATAACAGAACCACCCCCTAATCGATCATGTCTGATGACGTTAACGTCTTGGAAGCGCTCGTTTCGACGACGCCACACCCTCCTACGTCTGTCCAAAAAATCAACAGTGAACCTTGACTCATCTGAAAACATCATATTGCTCCAGCGTCGATTATCCCAGTGTTGACGATCCCTACACCAACGAAGTCTTGCCTGAATGTGATGATCTCTCAGACAAGGGATCACGCGAGGACGTCGGGCGCGAAGGTGACCCCTATGCAGTCGATTCCGAATCGTCTGGCCACTCACTCTCAAGGCCAAGGTACGGATAAATCGATCCTGGGCTTGAGTTGTCGACCTGAGCGTGGTCTGTCCTGTACATATTGTGTATCACGGTATCTGGACCATAGCCTGCTTATGACAGACTGAGAAACATTCATCGTCCGCGCCACAACCGCCTGTGTTGTGCCGATCTGTAGCATGCCAAGGGCACGTAACCTTTCATTTTGGGTAAGCCGACGCATATCAAAATTTGTTTTCTGGTCACTAAAACAATTAAACTGATGTTTCCACCCTGGAATTCAATGCCACAATGACTGTAACATTCAAAGTCAGAGTCGTGCAAATCTTGGGTTGGACCCCCATGATGATCCCAAGCATCACCTGCATTCCATGCGGTAGCTATTGGTGCGTTTGGGCGTCACATGTAACTGGAAATGTTTCTTCTGTTAGGTTCTATAGTGACTTTTTTCGTAGTCATTTGCATATTTTAGTATTATGCCCCCAAAATCAAATATCCCCTACTTTTTTTGAATAGTATATTACCGCCATCTCTGTCCATCTGTCGTGTAACCCATTGGCATAGTTAAACCCATTTGTTCTGAAATCTACATTTTATTGTGGTAGTTTATTGCCACCACCACCCTTAAAATGCTGGTATGATTAGTATATATGTTTCTGAAATGTTTATTGCATCCCCTATTTGTTACGAAATCTTGTTAGCACCTTAGCAGTTTGAATTGTGGTCTCTATCATTTTATAATTAGTGAATCATGTATTGACCCAAAGAACAACTCCGTAGATGTGGTCCTTTGTTACTAACTCTTTCGTTCACATTTCGAGTTGGTATCTAGATGTTCCAAAGTCCAAAATTGATACGGGTTTTCTAATCTATTGAAACGAAGGAAGCTATTGGCAGTCTATAACCAATCTAGAGTTTAGGCACGAAATCGTGTTAGAATTTTATTAGCTCTATTTCTCAAATTCACGATGGTATATCCTATAATAATTCTTTTCTTTTTTTTTACATAAATCTTATTAAAGTCCAAATCACACATAGAAAAGACAATTCAAACCAGGCTAAGAATAACAATCATAAAGGCATTCTGCGACAAGTCCATTGAGTATCTGGCCTTAGCTAGGTTTTCAGTAATCATGTGATTGTTGTGTTATAAGTCTTGATTAATTTTATTTTGTGGTTGATTATAAGACTTCACAATTTTCCAAATATGTCGCACCGCAGTCTTGTAATTAGTCACGACTTTCAAAGCCCCGTTCATGAAGATGTCGTTAGCGTATCAGATTACAATTGGCGGGCATGGGTGCATATCTCATCGCGGCGATGAGAACACGGGCGCCCAGAACATGAAATATTCGCTCACTACAGGAAGAATATGGGAATCCAAATTTAATAGATTTCATACCGGTTTTAACATCATAGATACAGTTTCTAACTTCTAAAGAAACTTTTTTTTATATGAAGGTTTTCGTTATTGTGAGAGGTCCCCGAGTGTCATAAACGTATGACCAATCTAAGCACGATGACCCCCATGATGAATTGTAGCACGTCTTATAATCAGTTTTTTTTTCATTTTGAACTAAACCTATAAATAGTTTTATAACAAGACATTTGCATAGCTTGTTGTGGAGCTGGTGATAGGCTAAACAGTAATTGTTTTGTCCACCAACTTTTAAAAAAAAATGAAATGGGATTTAACGTCCTACTGTTCTGCTCCTAAACTGGGCTAATGAAGACGTTTTTTTAAAAAAAAAAAAAAAAAATCAATATACGCATACACTTGTTAATAATCCATTTATATTTGATTTTGTCTTTCGGGTAAGCGCTATTGTAGACTGGCATAGGCAATGCAGTGTAGGCCTACTATAGGAACAATTCTCCCGGACAACAGCCCCACGGCCTATACTGTTGCTTCGAATTCCAACTTTAAATTGGCCTTTTACATCCTTGTAACGACTAAGGATAGAATACTAAAGATTATGCATGATTTCATATTTCATTTTTTTATTTTTATACATAAAATAGCAATTTAATACATACTTGCACAATTATCCATTTTCATCTTCTAATATAATAAAACGCATAATATAGTAAATATCAACAAAATGTAAAATAAACTAATATATTTATATATATATATATATTATACATATAGACAATAACTGGGTTTTTTTAACTATCAGATGAAACAACCTCTTGGGACCTGTACATTTTGTCTCAGTCTTAACCATATATATATATATACATATATAATATTGTATGCCTCTCATTCAATATAAAAAGCTATTCTATTTAAGTCTGATTATCTCAGTGTCACGAAGAGAGCAAAATGTAGAAATATATAATTCTTTCAATTTGAGATTCCAGCAGGGTTGCTAACAAAGGAAACGTACTATAGCAGATTATCGGGTTCTTTTCTTTCAATTAAGCGCGGGACTTGATCAGAAGACCTTCAAACCGATGGGCACATAGTATATAAGCTCGTAGCCTTCATTACTATTTCAACTGAATAAAGGAAATGTATTAATGGCCTTCCCATATCAACATTGCCATACCTGAATACAGAACCATATAATGTAATTCAAGTATTGGCCTCGAGTTCATCTTCAGCATCTCATCGCTACACAATGATATCAATATTACGTAGAAGGGGCTTGCTAAAAGTCATATTATCACAGATCACAAAATCACATCCCATTTTACAGTCTTTTCCCTGGAATTCATAGAATGCCATTTGTTTGTGCATTGTAATTGCTGTTAATGATATATCTAATTTATCAACCATGTCTACATATTGAACAACCACATTCTGACGCGGATTTGAACGTCACATTTCGAAAACCACCTACACACCAAACACGCATAGTTACCTGAAAAGACAAATAAAAAGAAAACATCAAATTACTGCGTGGTTAGAAACTGCGTTTGTGTGATATAATGCAGAACCTTGATGTGAGCAACTCTTCCACAACTTTTTTAGAATTCAGTCATTCAAAACAGACCCCCCCCCCCCATCTGCTTTCTTTGGAACGCAACATACTATTATTACCTTATTGCATAAATGCCGAGTAAATGGTTACAAATATGCTAATTGTCCATCCAAATATTTAGTTTGCATCGATTAATATGTATAGGTGGAAGTTCGGTTTGTATTTTAGCTCATTATCTAGCCAACGTTCTATTGAGGTGTATTTATTTTAAATTGATATTTCCATAACAGTGTTTGAGGATTAGACGGGGTCCCTACTTCATGTCAAATGTAAACATAAACGCCTTGGTATGGATGTTACAACCCCACCTCCAACAAAGTAATCTAAGCTTAGATGTCCAATGGCATTTAAAACCAACGAATTAGCTGTGGTGAGTATAATTACTTCTTGAACTATCAAGGTTGGAAAGGTCACGTAACATATTTCTATACTAGCAACCAATTCTGTGTCTTATTGTTCCCCGTGTATTCAAATCCAATATAATCGTCCAATATATTAGCACAATTAATTGGCAGAATATTTAATAAAAAGAACAAATCGATATCTGTTGTTATTATTTGTTGCAATATAAAAGACCTGACCTTATAAAACAACAGGATGTTTCTTAAAAGCTAAGTCAGACACATTAGCAAACAATAATAGAACAAAGTGATGCTTTCAAAACAGTAGGTGCATTTTCTGTGATCGCTATATCCCTTTTTTAGCGAAATATTCTGAGGATAGTCGATATCGCCCAGGAAATCTTATGAAATTCAAGCAACGTCGTCCCATTACATTTATTAATGTCTAAGGGTGCTGGAATATTAGCATCGGTACATAATTCTGAGCTCAACGTCTGATCATATTTTCTCCTAGAAAACGAATTTCCGTTCCACAGACTATAAACAATCATTGTCAGTAGTTACAACTACGATTCTCAGTTGATACAGCTTAATGCCCACTTTCGAAACTCCCTGGTCACTTTAATAGAATCAGGTATTTCTCTAATCTAACAATGTATGGAACAAAAACAATTGAATATTTCGTTTGACCCAAATCGGGGATTTAGCAGCAGAAAACGTGGATGTCTTTCTAAATCAATTAATATTGTAAGTGACACTCACGTCGTATGTTTGAAGAATACTGCAACATTCAGCCCGAGAAGTTATTTCTAATGACGGATTTGATGCTAAAGTTTGATCCGATGATGGAATGGCATAAGATACACAAAAACCTCTACAGGCATTCGTTGTAACACGGAACTCTACACAATTAGGAATGTTAACTGCTCTTGTATGGGCTGAAAAAAGAAATCATGTAGAAATTATATCAGTTAATCTTTGTTCTTCGACCAGTAAGTACAATAATATTCGTTTACAATAAACATTTACGTCGTTAATTATTTCATTTCCCTAGAATCTGAGTAAAACAGATTTTTTAATTGTCAATTCGTCTTCCGTTTTGTTCTTTTGCATTTAGGGTGTGTTACTGGGAAAGGGGTACTCTAGTAGGGCAGCAAATTATCTTTATATTTTTGGGATATAGGAATGATAATAATATATGTGTTGGGTTTACATATAGAAATAAAGGAATCGTAGAATGTCTACATCAGTGGTATAATTTGATAAGTGTAGAAATTCCAGAAAGGCTAAGCTGTGTACTACTATGACCAGAAACAGGTTTAGACTTACCAACTTTGGTGCATCCCGGTGATTCCCACGAATGACGTCTATGACCAGGAATTCTAAATGCTAAATTTGTCTGTGACACTATTAACAGTAAAAAGATTATCAACGTTCGCATAAACAAACACGACATAGAGTATATAAAGTTTTTGTTGCACCTCATCTCAAACCTCCAAGCACCCTTCCCCACCCTCTCTTCAGATCTCACGTTTGAGGAATTGTTTAGGTTTAATCTTGAATTCTCTAATTTTTTCAATCTGTTAAAAGGCACATGTTGTAATACAGCCACACTGGAGATTCTTCTATGGTTTAGTATCGTCCCCAAAACACACTCCTGAAATAGAAGTAGTATACAATATAAAACATTGTTTGTGCAATATGAATGGCTTATTAAATAATTCATCGATACCAAACCCCTAAAAATTAAAACTGAATGCCACCCTTTTGGATATCCTTGTTTATATGCAATTGTGAGAGAAGACGCTTTTTATTTTAATACATGTAGGTTGATTTAATATTACGAAATATTTGATTTCATAAGTCTAGATATATGATTATATAATCAAGGACAAGCGTCAAAAAGAATGACGAAATAATGATGTACATGTACCTTAAATTGCGAAACTACTTATTGTTTAAAACATATTATAATGTAGATAGTTTCCTTTTAGCGCCATGATGTATATTGTCGTCAATCTGTTGGGTTGCCCGTCTACAATGTCGTATCCAGTCATTAAAAGAACGTTTTCGGCTCTATATTAAGAAGGCGCCTAATGATTTTGATGTTCCTTGAACAAATGATTGCATTGTACTGTTAGACTGGATTTATATAACATTTAATTTGCAGAATACACTTTTATTACTGGGAAAATAATATTGTAACAATAGAATATTGCGTAACATCGGCAAATTGAATTCTACGAGTGTTTATGGAAGTTGATAACTGTGCGTATTTTAAACAAAGGTTGGTTCACTGTTTTGAAAATTCGTCATACAGGTCAATTGTCTATTTTCAGCTGTTTTAGAATGTGGTAGGAATAAAAACATTAAAACTAAGCATCTTTAGTACCAGAATCAGATCATTAATTATTGTTATAATATGTTGCTGGCTTTCTCATTATTTTTATAAACAGATATAAGTCTTTATAAACAGATATAAGTCTATCAGCGAATCTATTAAATCCGATTCAACATAGTAAATGTAACCAAGGCTACATTAACTCGGATAAATTCATTTCATTTCTATTAGCATTTGGTTAGAGTCATTCATAAAAATTACTTTAGTAAAAATAAATTTAATTGTGACATATCGCAGATAGCTTTTATGGATCTGCATCGCACAATATGTAGTAAACATTCTGCTGATGTAATATATTCTATTTGATGCTTAAAAGAGAGAGGAATTGGGTTTAACGTCCACTCGACACAAACTAGGTCATTTCGGGACTAACATATGGTTCAATTTTATTTCAATAATTCGCTTGAGCGTAGGGGTCTTTAGCAGTGCTATTTGTTGCCTAAACACATGTGTTGGATTTGCCACGGGGAATCTGGATAAGGCAAACTGTACCCGCCGTACATCACGAAAAATAAATCAAACCTGACGGAAACTGAACGTAAATGTTTCGTTCGTATGATAGTCCACCACACTTAATGTGACCCAGAAACGTATCTAATTGGCGTAGATGGTGGATATTGATTAAGCTTAGGCTAAGAGATGAGCAATGTGGTTGGTCGGGACTTTGGAACAACTCTGCTTCCAAATGAAGTAGAATGTTCTCCATTGGGGTATAGATGTTCATTAGATGAATGTGTTTGCTAAGTTCGATGCTTAGGCCCAGAGATATGTTTATAGGTTCGTCAGATTAATACTTTGACCGTGAGCATTTACTGCGTCGGTTAAGCGGAAATAAAAAGAACGGTTTAAACGATACTTTAAATTTATTATTGCGGTTTTACAGATTCCATTTGGTGTCTATATCACTACATTGATATATTTTCTTCGTACCCCAAAAACCTAGACCACCAAACATTCCTCTCATATCTTTTTGTGTTTTCGTCTTTTCCCAATTTTAACATTGCATCAGCGCAAATGGTTTGTATTGCTGGCAGATTTTTAGGAATATTCCTAAACTGGATACTGCGGATTTCAGAGTATCCATTGTTATGTCAGTGCTTTTGAGAAAACAGTGTTTCATCTGTGGTTGAAAGCGTTCCACCCAACCGAAAAGAAATGAAATGTGGTTTAACGTCCTACGTTTTGCTCCAACTGGGCTAATGAAGACGGGCATACGACATATAGTGTGCTATGAGGGACATTATTTCCGGACAGCGGCGCTGCGGCCTACTTTTATATCGAATTCCAACTGCTAAGGGATCCTTTACGTGCATGTCAATGTGTACACGGGACCTCAGGTTTTTAGTCCTATCTGAACGACTAGACAGCTGTCCTTGTCAGGCTCTCCGTACTGCACCAATGACAATGGGAAAACCATGCCGGAAAATCCGATGAACTCTCTCGGCCAACACCGGGAGCGAACCCCATGCTTCCCAACCGAAACGAGACGAGAATTAACATCAACGAGGAAAATAAAGGATGACCAGTGGTCATTTGATAAGTGACATACTGGTCGATCTGGTAAGCTTGCTTTAGATATAAATTTGCCACGTACTTAAAAGCTTATTGAAATGTGTGACTTTCAAGTAAATAGCTAGCTGTACGTATTGAAACACATTTGTTGGTAATCTCTTCTGATTTATCAGCGTATTCTCAGAAGCTAAAGTTTAATCCACTAATAAAAATAATTAATACCCATGAGGCCAAACTGGACAACTCGGTGATAAGAGTTGACGAAGACGATATTTTCACAAATTGTACCGAAATCACATTGACTTGTTTATATTTATTTCAATGATACTTTTCAATTTAAGTCTCATCAACCTTATTATGGGCAACTAGTATTGCATAGTTTGCTTTACGACCAATCAAAAAATATTCAGTGTATTATTTGTTACCTTGTAACATAATGCTGAGATTTTACAGGGGAGCCGGTAATAGATGTCACAGAAGGCAACAAAACCTCGGCAATATATAGCATCTCGTGATGTTAATGGCCTTTTTCAAGATGAACTTAACACAAATTGTATTGAGATATTTCAATCACAAAAAAGTGTAGATAGGCAAATGTCAAAAATAAATTGTACAGATAAAATGTTACGTAGTATGATTATCCACAACGCATTAACTTTCCAGGATTTTATCTAGTTTTGTAACTTTAATCATTGTTTTTCCATAGTTATTCTATATCTGCTTTCTAAACATAAAAATGACATACTTATTTAACCCGACGTTCATCGAGAAAACCTACGAGAATATTAAATAAATAAGTGCAAAAGAGCAATACACAAGGAAAAGTGTCAGTCCTATTGTGTGCAGTATTGCAGTCTGATCTTGTTTCTGACTCTTGCCCATTAAAACCGAGATAATGTGGAAAAGTCAATGATGATCGAAATTCTCAAATATTTAAAACTCGGTATAATAATCGTACCGAGAGACTATCGAAGCCATAGACAACATTCTCAGACGTTTACTCCCATTCCAAATTAGTTAATTCTTTTATCAAATTAGATCATTTCATATAACATAGTATATTTCAATAATTCGCGCCAGGGTCTTCAGCACTCGGGAGAAAGCTCAAGAACGGTCGTACTATGGACCAGGAACTGGCCATGTTGGATGAAATTCAAAAATTTAATTTACCAAATCGATGCAGAATTATGCAAAGAAGAAGCATGTTAATTTTCAAATCGACCGGACTTGCATTGACGGAGCCTTAGGCTTTTTCGACGAGCGTCACCAGTTCCTGGCCCGAAAACAGTGGGTTTATCAAGCTGCCCTTCATGAACAAGAGTAGTTATGGAATTCTGGTGCATAGCCCAAGTTTTAGAACACTAGATGGCTTTTGAGGTAAACCATTAACTACTGCCCATCAACAACGTGATTGCCACATGTGTCATACATTATCTAAAATGTCAGCATTTGGCGTTCAATATTGGATCTAAGAAATATCTACATATTTTCATCACTCTGCACTTAAAGATACATTATGGGATAAAGAGCTAGCAGTTCTCACAATAATGTTTAAGAACTAGATAATGTAAAGGCAATATGCTGAACATTTCGATCATCATTACTAAAAAAACATAGTCTCGGTTATCCATTTGATGATTAAATCATGAATGAAAGTAAATCCAATAAATATCGCAGGCTAGCGTTGACATCGAGAGTTGATTATGGTCTGGATAAGTTAATTAATGTCTAATTAATAATTTAGATACCGTTTCGGGTCTAAAGAAAGGCCTGGAATAGGCAGATTTAGCTCTTGCACAATGTATGTATAATCTACAAAATCTTTCCCATTTGAAATTATTGTTCGAATTATGAAACAACATTGATTAATTATGATAGCATACAGCCATATTATAAAAGTAAACTAAACAGCAAATAAGTATCTTATTGTGCAATATAATATAAACATACATGACGAAATCACTAGCCTCCGAGGGATTATTAATCATGTTCTTGTGAAATTCGTCTGCGTTGAATAAATTTGTAAATATTTTGAGTCCAAATGAAGTCCCCCATGTCAGATATGTAATATGTACATAAATCACTAGCCTCCGAGAGATTATTAACCATGTTCTTGTGAAATTCGTCTGCGTTGAATAAATTTGTTGAGTCCAAATGAAGTCGGATATGTCTATGAAATTTTGTGTACGGGATAGTGTCGATATGAATGTGTTTGGAATGTTATTCAAAATAAGATGGGGGTAGAGGCAACCTCTTGGTCATGTTGAGACTAACATGTAATTTTCATGTCTAAGTTTTAACATGCAGGTTTGTTTTTTTTAGAAGTTGGAGGAGTACCCAGAGAAATCCACAGTGTTTGGAGGCCCAAACACGTAAGAATAGGGGCTTAGATGGTTTTATTTGCTTCATCCTGGAGTACAGTTTTCTCACCGCATGGTCCAATGAGCAACATACTTCAAATACGCCTTTGTGTGTACTTCGCTTCCACATAAGTAATGTCACCGATGTCGTTAATTGATCTATTTACGTTTCGCCAAATGAAATAAAATGAAACGGAGTTTAGTGTCCCGCTTTTCTGCACCGACCGGGATAATGCAGACGAGAATACGCCATGCAGTATGATATGAGGCAAACTTTGCCTACTCTTAATACGAACGCTTTAGAGGG